CCAATCAGAGAAAAGCACTAGCACCCTCAACATACTTACACTAGGAACCATTACTATACATTGGACACTGCGTCCCATCCTACTTGATAGTCTCCCAATGAAAAACTCTAGGAAATACAGCGACACTTGATCACCTGTCCAATCACTTCCCTTTGGAGTCGACACTGCCTCAATCACTGTACGCGTAAGACCCGTGACCTCAGTCACAATAATTCACTGACTCATCAAAAGAAAAAGATGCCTACATGACAACACCTATCAATCTGGCCCTAAAGACTAAGTTGTCCACCATTACCTTGATTAATGCACAATCCCATCACATACCCGTCAGCACACAACAACACTCATAATTTTCAACCTACATTCGAATCATACCTCAAATTATTACGCTTATCAATGCCAAACATCGCTTCACAACACCTCAACCACCTTCCTTCCCAAACAACAATCCAAACCTATCGTCCCACTGGACCATCAAGCCATTCCTAAGTGATTCTTCCTCAAACATCCTTAAGACAACACCATCATCACAAAAGAACAAACATTACTCCCGATACACCCCATAATGGCCACTATATATCTCTAGAAAGGAACCTCAATACGACAATACCATGTCGATAATTTCTCAAAATGAAAATGAGCATAAAGTCCAAAATACTTGACTCCCAACTGTCACCTCAATACCACCAATGATGCCATCAATCATTAATGCTTAACCGATAATTTAATTCACTCATTTTAAGGTGATCGACGGGCCGAAGTAAGAAAACTTCGTGTCCTAGGTTCAACATCATTATTTCTTCTTATTCTTGTTTTAACATTATTGCCATTACCCTCACTATCCCCATTACTCGTTAGATCAAACACTTACCCAGAAGAAAACACTAATAAAATGCAAAAAAAAAAATTAATGCAATTACATACCCTTAACTACAGGAGGTCTCTCTGGTGACTCAACAGGAAAAACAACCGGATTGACTATACAATCCTAAGTCTGCTTTTCATGTGACTCTCCAAGTTAAACACCGATATGTGATACTGAAGGTTGAGTCGGTCCTTGCCCTGAACCTACCTCGCCAACTGGAATTCCACCTCTTTTGGGACAATCCTTCTTCCTATGATCAGGCTAACCACATTTAAAATAAACTCCCGAACTAGGCCAATCCCAAAGGCACTCTGCTCTTAAATGATCTGTCTGCTTGCACTTATAGTAAACCTTCTCGATCTTAGGGGATGTCTCCAGCGATGACGTAAAAACAACAGGGGAATGAGAAGAATCACCCTTTAAAACCTTTCGTACATGACTCTTAGACAACATCTCCACTTCCTTAACCTGAGTCCACAAGTCCCTACCTCCTGATCCGTCCCTAACCCCTGTTCTCTCTGACTGTGCCATCGACCTCTGAGTTTCCATGACTATTGCACGTACAAAGTTTGTCATAGCCTAAACCAAATTCTTAACCAAAAGATTCCCTTTAAAGAGCTCGTCCTGCTCCCTATCATTATCTACTTCTCTACGTCTCTTCAAAGGCATGACTCTAAAAATGAAAAGAAAAAGGATCAATACAATACAATCACGCGACCCTGACTCAAAGCTATGAACACTCTCACACAATAAGGACACCTAGCCATGAAATATGAACCTGTTCTACCGTCGTGCTCTAAGCATTTCACCAAATGCGACAAGAAGATTCAAAATGATTGCACACAAAATAGCTCAATCCACGAGCTAGAAACCCACACCATTAGTTCGACAAGAACCAACACCTAAACAACCCTAGAGCAACCGAACTCCCCACCTGAGAACACAATTATCCTATGTTTGACCGCATACATGCCTAAAGGTACATAGATATACATACAAGGCATACTTATATATATACACAAAATAACTGGAACATAACCCTTGACACGATTGTGTCCTAACACATTAGTTTAAACAACAAGTTTACTAAATTATTATGTAAACTTAATTATCCCTTCTATTTCATCATCATCTCTCATACTACGCACCTGCATAATTCGTACTTATAGCTTGCCATTAACATACTTCTCATACATACCATTATAACAACATCAACATGTTTTTTAATCCTTAACATGGTAACAATATACATTACTTTAAACATATAGGCAGGTGATCACATAGGCAAATAAGCAAGTAAGCATGCTGTCCAAGTTGGAAACACATAATCAATTAAACAAACAAGCATGTTTCTCAAATAACAACCACTTTAACACATAAGCATATAAACAACGTAATTCAACTTTTCCATGTAATCCTAGGTAGGCCTTTACTCGTCGTCCTAAGGTTTTCGAACCATGGCGCTCTGATACCATTCTGTAACGACCTGAACCCGAAGGCCCGAACCGTTAGCCAGGTCCTTACTCGAACCTGAGGTTACCTAGGTCCATCACGACGTTTCTATAGTCAACACACCTTTACGACGCTTGGATAACAACTTTAGTACGTCACATCACCCAATCTATCATTTAATTAAACAAACGCTGGAGAAATAAGGAAGAATAATCAAGCTACTTCATTTTGGTCGACCAAAGTAGAGCTTCGGTGGTCCGAAATGGAGATCCCGAGAGCAACTAATGAGGAGAAGAAAGCTTAACCAAAAAGCTTCATTTCGGTCGACTGAAGTGAAGCTTCGGTCGTCCGAAATGAGGATACCGAGAGCAAGAAAATGCTTCGGTCGACCGAACCCCATCTCGGTCGACCGAAGTGGAGGTCCTGAGAGCAACCAATCCTGTTTCGGTCGACCGATGCACCATTTCGGTCAACCGAAATGGCTATGCCGAGCCTGGATCCAGAAGTCAACCTGCTGAACTATGAAAATGGAAGGGAAACTGAAAATGAAACTTGTCAATGGTTTAAACTCAAAATGGATCCTCAACCCAAAGTTATTCTATGATCAAAGATGAGGGAACCAACCCGCAATCACATTAAAACATCCTTTGAGAAACAAATCCATGAATTTAACACATAGGCTTTACATCATGGTCATTATACATCAAAATGAATTCTAGATTCAGGTTTCATCATTTACATGCCAAAATAAACTTGATACATTTCAAAACATGTACTTTACTAGATATATTCAAGTTCTACACAAGAAAAATACATCCAATAGATTCTCCAAGTTCCTTCAATTTAGTGGTGGATTTTCATCCGCCGTTTCTTTGCCGTGACCAGAAAAATATAATAATATAGTGGGGTGAGCAATTGGCTCAGTAGGTGACGCCTAAGACGCACCTCATGACACCCCGTGAATCCAAAACAAAGAATAGGCCAATAGGAGTTGGGGTCATACCACATAGGGGAGAATACAACATTGTTATCCTTCTCAACACAAATAATAAGATGCAATAGAGATGCAATGCATGCCGATGTCGCTCCCTATTTTTCACAATCAGAATCATCGCTTTCAAACTGTTAATGTAACCCCCTTTGGTGACTTCGCAGCGCCAAGAGAAAGATTGGCTACTGTCCCTAACCTTTGGTGACTCCGTAGCGTCATTATAGGGCCTAGATAGCTCAACCACACTAGGGCAATCTCCCTAGTTCCCTCTAGGTTACATTAACCTACCAGCCCGTTGGTGACTCCGCAGTGACCAGGTTTTCCAAAATAGTTTCGTCAAAATATTCTTTCCCAAAACTCCCCATTTCCATTTCAAAAATAATTTCTTCCCTTCATGCAACCCAATGGTGTACATGCATGTCTCTTGATCTCAATACTATGAAAATGAGGAATTTGACACAACACAAGTAACCAAGTTCTCATACTTTTAATATTTAAACAATAATGGATTATCACTAAATATAATAAGACATGTGTTCATACACCATTCATAGCATGTGAACAATACAATAGGCATAAAACTTATTATATAAGCCTGCTTCTCATATAACACAATCAAGACAAGTCTTCACATATTCACATATATACAATCAAGACATTTTAGGCTACAATTAACACCAATAAGCATGTTATAACATAATTCAAGTAGAATAACTCACAAAGGTGCATGAATAATGTGAATTAGGAAGCCCCTACCTCAAAATGAGCAAAACCCTTGAAATAGGTCAAGGAATTCAAAAATCAAGGAGGGCACCAAATCTAGAATTGGTGGTATGGATGTGTAGAGCTCATCGTGGGCTTCGTTTTGCCTCAAATGGCACACAAATCTGGTAAGAAATGAAGAAGTAATCAAGTCTCAAAGATTGAATGAGAAAAGAAAAAGAAAAAGCAATCAAGAGAGTGAGAAAGAGAGAACCAGCGGGGAGAGAGAGTGAATGGTTGGAAATGTGGTCTCTAGACCACTTTTGATATAGTGGTGGGTCCCACCACTTTGATTTTCTTTTCCCTTTTTCTTTTACTTCAATTTCTACACTACACACATATAATGCAACACATAAAATACTACTTAATCGACGTAAATTGAAAAGCACAAAATGTAAGTGCTCAACTAGAATCCCGTACAATAAATGTGAAAAGACCGAAATACCCTTGTATCAACGTAATTTTTAGAAAATGAAAAATGCCAAAAATTGGAAACATTACACCCTGTGCCTGAGAACTGCCAACCTGAACACCTGACTGCTACACTGACATAGTAGGAGTATCCTTCCTAGCTGGTCGTGAACCCTGAGAAGACATAGCAGGCTGTGGTGATGGCGGTGGCCTAAAACCTGACTGAACTGTAGCCGACTGTGACTGCCTCTACCGTGACCCTTTGCCACTAGTAGTGCCTGCTCCCTAACTCGAACAGTCTCAAATCAAATAGCCCTGCTAGCTGCACCCATAACAAGCCTTCGGAGCTGAAGAAACTGAAGACAATCTCATGGGACAATTGGACTTGTAATGTCCAGGCTGCTGGCACTGAAAGTAAACAACTCCACTCTTATCCGACCCAGCTGGTATAGGAGTGGTAGGAGCAGATCGTGCAGACTAATGCCCCTGAAACTGAGATGAACCATCCCTATTCCTCTTCTATGAAGGTCCCTCTGAAGATGACTCTGCATTCCTCTTTTGTTTCCACTGTTCTTTTCTTGCATCTTTATCTTTGGCCTCCGCCTCTAGTATCAATGCTCTTTCCACTGCCTTAGAATAAACCTTGATGCCCTGTGTTGTTACTAACGGCCTCATCTTGTAGTCAAGTCTAGAGACAAACTTCCGAACCTTATCAACTTCATTACTCACCATTTCTGGAGTAAAGCGAGAGAATGAGGTGAACTTGTTCTCATACTCCGTCACCAACATATTACCTTGGATAAGGCTAATAAACTGATCCTTTAACTTCCACCTCTTGGGAGCAAAGAAATACTTCTCATAGAACAACTCCTTGAACGTATCCCAACTCATCTCTTCAATCTTATACTGATTTGTGACCGACTTCCACCAAAACTTGGCTTCCTTTGAAAACTTGTAAGTGGCGATGATGATTTTCAAGTGATCATCCATCACATCCATATAAGTCAATTGAGTTTCAACTTGATCCATATAGTCGTCCGCTTCCATTGGATCAACACCACCTTCGAACATCACTGGCATCAACTTAGAAAACCCTGAAATCAACTTAATAAGTTTCTGCGCTAGCGTCTCCTCCACCTGAACTACCGGTTGTGGTACCGACTGCGGATGTGTAACAATTGTGGCCATCAAGGCCTTCTGCAACAAGCGATTCAATGCAAGTTCCGCCGAACTCTCACCCTCTTCAACGGGTGTTTCAGCATTATCACTCCTTATAAGAACAACTCTTGGGGCAATCAAATCCCTAAGAAGTGTGTCCTCATCAACTGGCTTCGCCGGATTGGAGCTAGAGCTCTCACCAACATCACCCCTTGTTGGCCTAGGGCCAACTTCCCTTGGTTCCTCACGCCGTGACATTGCTCTATAAAACAAAGAAAACGGTTCAATAACGATAACACTAGGGTCCAACTGTGAACAACTCAACACAAAAGAACATTATACTAACACTTAGCATGCAAGACTATGCAATGAACACATTAATATAAGCATATAAGCACATAAGCATGTAAGCAAGTAAATAGTTAAGCATGCTTTTTCACATAGCAAAACATTTTTGCAAATAAGGAAATAACAATGCAAATGACTTCCCAGACAACCCTAGTTAGGCCTCTACCCGTCGTCCTAATGGTTTTCGAACCAATGCTTTGATACCAATTTTGTAACGACCCTAAACTGAAAACCAATTATAAAAATAAATAAAAAAAATCGACATGACCTCTGTTAAAAAGGGGCCTACAACAACCTGCTCAAATGAAAAAAATATAATGGCCTTTCAAGACCTATCCAACTTGTCCCAACACACAATATAAAAAAATAATATATATATAATACAATCCTCAATACTATAACATCAACAACCTCCCTAAGTTAGCCCATCATCGTCATCTCATTCAACTTAAGCATTTACATAGTCTCGCTTCCCTTCAAAATACCAACAAGAGTTATGATTTATAATACATGACCTTGGCTTGCAAAAATGAATACACGACATTCTAGTTTTGGGACTATACAAAAAAAAAAAAAAAAAAAAAAAAAAAAAAAAAAAAAAGCCGGGCTAAGATACAAAAGATAACAAAATACAACTCCTAATCTTCTTCAAGCTTGCGGGGAATCGTCATTCGTCACTTCTTTTCAGAGCCCTGAAAAATGTTAAATAATAGGGTGAGCATAAAGCTCAGTAGGTAGTGCCTATGACGCACCTTTTGTGACCCCGTGAACCCAAATAATGAATAGGACAATAGGGAAAGGGGTTATGCTAAACCGAGGAAAATACAATATAAATCTGCAAGTTCACAACAAATGAATGTCGCACCATGAATGCAATGTCATGCATGTCACTCCCTATTTTTAAAAAACTTCCATCACTTCACAAACTGTTAATATAACTCGCCCTTTGGTGACTCCGCAGCAACACGAGAGAAGGATTAGCTACTGTCCTTGACCTTTAGTACCTCCAGAGCATCATTTGGGGCCCAGATAGCTCAACCACGCTAGGGCAATCTCCCTAATTCCCTCTAGGCTATATTAACACACTGGCCCTTTGGTGACTCCTCGACGACCGGGTTTTCTCAAAACTGTTTCATCAAATTCTCCCAAAAATTCCCTTTTTCATTCTTATCAAATCATTGTATCATTTTTCATGCCCATGCTATGAATGCATATCATAGGTCTTTTTAATACTATGAAAATAGAGAGAATTATTATCACACAATTAACATACTTCCATATAAAATTTCCAATAAATTATTAAGCAACATAGGTATGGAAAAATTAACATATTAAGCATACTTTACAATAACTATAAGAAAATTTTCATAAGCTTCCATGTATCATTTCTATCAATTTTGTCAACACAATAACATAAAGAAATTAATAATGAAACATGTTTTTTTTATACAAATCAACAATTACACATATAGTCATGAACTTTACACCCATTAGAAAATCATTCTAGAGGTAATTAATTTCAATTAAGCATGTTAGCATCAAATAACAAGAATTGACTCACAAACGAACAAGAAAATGCAAATTAGAGACCACTACCTCAATTTTATGCAAAACCCTCAATTTTCACCTCAAACCCTAGGATTTTCGAATTTCCTATGGTGCACCAACCAAGGAATTGCTCCTATCAGCTTGTAGGCACTACAAGAAAATTGACTTTTTACAAGAAGCCATTTGCGTTGTAAAAAGTAATTTACAACGCACAAGTAGTATATTGTTGAATCCCTTGTTGTAAAAAGTATCTCATTTTTACAAGATGTGAGATACTTTGTAAAAGAAGAAGGATACCCCTTGTAAAAGTATTATCTACAACATTCCATAGTGTGTTGTAAATAGTTTCTGTATTCACAAGGTGTTTTGCATTTTGTAAATGATATTTTCAACAAGGTTTCAAGCCTGTTGTAAATAGCCCAACAAACAATTACAAGTGTTATATGTTTGTTATAATTGCACATATTCACAACGTCTTATGTCACGTTGTAATTATCTTAATTGGATATTTACAAGGCCCACTTGCATGTTGTAATTTTACTTTTTAAAAATAAATAAATAAATAAAATAATTTCTTTCATTGTTTTCCCATACAAACTTTAATCCTTAACACGCTAATAGTAATTAAGAAAACCAATCAAATAACCACACAGGAGCATAACAAACTACAAAATACATGATATGAAAATAAATAAATAAATAATTTTTTTAAACATGCACTTCACATTATTTCTTTTGCATGAACAGGATCGATCACCCATTTTAAAGCTCTTGAAGGATGGTGGTTGCATACGAAGATCAGCTAATAAGTTCTATAATATAAAAAAATATCCAATGAAGTTCAATCTTTAATTTGATATAACATGGTCAACATATATATCTATAATCAACATATTATTAATACTGCAATAGATTTCTTCAATCACATACTTTACAAACCACAATTGAGGGCCATCCAATCAACATTATTTTCTAGGAATGCATTTATCAAAGTAATTTGAAGGAAGAAGAATAACTTGTAATTTCAATTATGGAGACTTATAATCGCCTAGTGCAAATACATAAAATACTAGCAATTTCAACTTGCAAGTAATCACTTAGTCAATGATTTCCAAACAATTTGAAAAACGAACTGTCTCATGAGCTTTACAATAACTACAATGGTCTTTCCACTCAACTCTAAAATGCGAAAATGAAAAAAATAAAAATAAAAATAGTTTCATTAATGTTTAATCCCTACATTCAGTCAATCATAAAAAAATTTAATTAGTTTTGCACAAAGTTGAATCACACCCAAGTAAAAGCTTTTTATTAGTTTTGCACAAAGTTGAATCACACCCAAGTAAAAACTAGAGAATTGTTTTGCTAAGAAAGATATCAGAGAGAAAGAACATCATAGTAAGCTGAAAAAAGCTACTTAACTAACGAAAAATCAAAATAATAATAATATTAAATGCAAGGTAGTCTGCACCTATTACTATTGAACAATTCAAAAGCATAGCCATTAACACTTTAGGTGTAAAAGATGAATAAATGAAAAGCTCACCAACAACAATTATAAATTATAATAAGACCTTCGCCAACTTTCTCCATTGCCTTGACTATATGCTCACCAATTTCTCTTTCTCCATTTGTTGATATTAACAAAATGTTAGTCCTATAATAATCCCTCTACCATCCCACAACCTAATATTCTGTATCAAGAAACAAATACAGGAAATAAAGACAAAATCAGTTTTTTGTCACAAACTATCTTCCAAATTCAAATAAACAATCAAAACTTTCAAAACCCTAAAAATTAATGAAACAATCCCCATTTCATATTTGCAACAAAAACACAATCTTCAAAAATTTAAATTAAACAATCAACAATCTTTAAGAAATGAAATTGAACAATCCCATCATGCTAACTAATTCCAATTGAATTCAAGGTTGATTTTAGCCAAAAATTATCATTCCCAGTAAATCAACCCTATATGAAAGCAACAACACATGAAACCAAAAAGAGAGAAGTGCAGTAACCCATTTGGGATTTTTCATTGGTGTGGCCTTGATCTGAACTCTCTTAAAAAAAAATTATATTATCGAAGAATTTGTTATGTTCATATAAAATCAACCGGAATCTAGTACAGAATTTACCATCTAATTGACCCAAATAAACACAACTTCAGACCTCCATAAAACTAACAAGACTTTCCTTGGCCACTTTGCTAAATACTAATAGCTTATTCGAAGAACTAAATAATGTATAACACATTTTATCAAGTTAAACAATGATGAAACATAGCACTAAAGCCACTTTAATATGTATGTAAATTGTAATACAGACAAAAGTTCTAGATTCCCACTAAAAATAGAATTTTCTAGAGTCCCACAAAATACTGTAGCAATGCTTTGCATTATCCAACAAAGCTAGCTATAAAAAATAATACAGCTAGAATAAAAACCAAAGTAGATGATTGGTAAAGTTCCAATTACAAGTCAACAAATGCATATGAGCTCACATTTACAGATCAACAGTTTATCACCAGCAGTGTGTAGTTGCTCGTTCAAGAAATGTTCCAACAATTTTTTTATATTTTTTTAATTCACATTTATGCAATTGCTTAAATTTTTTAAGAAACTTGTCATAAAATTGCTAGCTAGAGCCAAACTAAAATTAAGAAAAGGCAATTAAGAAACCCTAAGCAGAAGCAGGATTAATTTTCATATCTTTTTTCAATCCATAGATTTTCACATCATGAAAAATGCCTCATAAATTTCGGTTGTGTCAAGAAAAACACAACCACACACACACACACACACACATCATGAAACAAGTCCACTTGCAGATATATATAACAAAGAAGACTAGCTTGCAGATATATATATAACATAATTGCAGATATATATACATAATATATATATATATATATATATATATATATATGTTTGTG